TGCTAACGTACGAGAACGTGACTAGTTCACGTTGACAGAGAAGCGTTGAGGTATAAGCCTACTCATAAATTCAAATATCCAGAAAAAATCATTTTGCAATGCATTGCACTCTCGAACAATATTAAAGATATTGATTTTAATACAAATTGAATACCAGTCTTTTTTTCGAGAAAATTTATTAAGATGGGATATTTTTTGTTGACCTGAATTATTTAAAAAAAATGAATTTTAAAAAGTGTCAAAAAAGCAACATTGTTTTTTGGGAATACAAGTTTCTCAAGATACGTCACTGTAACACACAATTAAAGAATGTTGTGTCATGGAACAATGTCACCATGATTTTACATAATGAACATTGTCATGCGATTTATGACCAATTTTCTAAAAACATACGAGTAGGTTTCTACCTTAAGAACAGACAAGAGCTAAATTGTTCAGCTAGACATTTCCGTAGAGCGGATATGTTGCGAATGTTACTTAGTAATGTCAACGATCATAGAGTTGGTGTTAATAGGAAACGATTATGAGTTTTAACTCTCGTGATGTTTCAATTACAACACGTATAGTGACAGTGTGAGTTGTCGGTTCAACTGTCTAAATGTAATGACAAATGACCAACAGAAAATCAATTCGGGAAGATTGACGTCATGCGCACTTGAAGCTTATACATGATCCATTAGAGTCTTTGAAAATCTCTGTCGATGTACACACTCACATAAAAACGTTGCAACGCATCTACTTCGGAGTTAGTGATACAACAGAGAATACAAACAAGTCATTGAAAATGACACAGTCCCCGTTAAATTTTTGAAAGTTCTCTTTGTGCTGTTGTCGCGAGCGTGTCCTTGAAACTTGAGTTCCAAGTGACATATACAACAGATTGTTTATTTACATCAAAACACATGTTCCGTGTAGTAGTAATATGGCCAAAAATAAAAACAGCCGTTATTCGGTCATCTTTGATCTGATTATGAAACACACTGATATGCATGATGTATGTGCCAAATATGAATGAAAATGGTACATAAATTGTGGAAATATAGTAGTAAGGCCAAACAGTCAGATGGCTGTCAATCGGCCATCCTTGACCAGCTTTTGAAACAAATTGTCATGGACATGCATCCTAACATGTATAAAGTACATGTATGTGCCAAATTTGAATGAAAACTGACAGAGCACGTCCAAGATACCGCATGTAAAAAAAACAAGATGCCTGCCAGTCGACCATTTTTGATCTAATCGCGAAATAAATCGTCATGGACATGTATCCTAACATGTATAATCTATGTACCAAGTTTGAATGACAACTGACAAAGCATGTCCAAAATACAACATTCTCAAAAAACAAGATGGCTGCCAGTTGGCCATTTTGAATCGAATCGCTAAACCACTGCATGTGCATATGTCCCACATAAGGTACTAGTCATATGCAAAGAATGAACGGAATCGGCCAACAGGATTCTGAAATATGACTCTGGATAGACTGGCGCAAGGACGGACGGACGGACAGACTCAGGAACTCGCGGATGGTCGGAGACATGTATGATCTATGTACTGAATTTGAATGAAAACTGACAAAGCATGTCCAAAATACAACATTTTCAAAAAACAAGATGGCTGCCAGTCGGCCATCTTTGATCCAATTGTGAAATAAATCGTCATGAACATGTATCCTAACATGTATAATCTATGTACCAAGTTTGAATGAAAACTGACAAAGCAGGTCCAAAATACAACATTTTCAAAAAACAAGATGGTTGCCAGTCGGCCATTTTGAATCGAATCGCTAAACCACTGCATGTGCATATGTCCCACATAAAGTACTAGACACATGCAAAGAATGAACGGAATCGGTCCATGGGATTCTGAGATATGACTCTGGACGGACGCACGAACGCACAGGCGCACGGACGGACGGAGACCGAATTATAAGTCCCCGTTTTCGGACTTCGTCCGAACGGGGACTAATAAAGACTGCATTGTGTGATTTATTTTATCGGTATTTTTTTATTTGAACCATATGTCGAGACACGGTCGGAATACTGAAGCAAGTTAAAAATGAAATATTGACGAAAATATTTAATTTTCAGTATTTTTAATTGATACTATATACGGACAGATGGCACACGGAGTAATCGTTCGATGAAACAATGAAATTATCCAATACGCATGCGCATTGGTTGCCCTGGTACCTACAATAACAATAACTGCACATGTGTATTAGACATTTTGATCTTTCTTCTCACGAAAACTATTTTCCTGCAAATGCAACATTTTTATTTTATGATAAATCATATTCTAATTTAGTGTACAGTATGAAGTATTGAATAACAATGTTACGTAAATCAAAGAAAGCTTAGAATGAACTCCCGTGTGCTGAGGATATTGGAAGCATGAAGTACATACAAGGAATACTGTATTTACTTTAATAGCACATCATCTACAATACACAAGTAAAAATCGCAATATCATTGAAATGTCGTATTTTGTTCATAGATGTCGACTTGCCACTTATTTATACATTTAAGATTCAAATAAAGTCAATACGGCAAGCAGTGACCGGGCGGTTCCCGTTGGTTATGGTATTAATTTGTCTATGGTGGACTATAATCGTGCATAGACCAACACGCCCTGTGTCAATTGCCAGTGGTGTCTGCACTGATGGTTTGGGGCCATCTATAGACAACCCGATGTGTTAGTCATACGTCTTGAAGTCCGATGCCTTCATTATAGGACTGCAAGTCAGTACCTGCAGCAGTGATTTATACATCAAAGTTATGCATATTAATTACACTAATTAGCCACATATCGTGCCCAACGCCTTCAATATTGCACCGAATGCATATGACCATATATGGAAACGTGATACTAGTATGTTAGTTATAACTCTTGCACAATGTCTGTATTAAAGCACTGGCTGTATGTCCCTATCTTTAGTAGTGCTTGAGATATTATAGCTACGAATATTAATTAGGCACATGACCATATATGGTAATAAGATACATTAGCCATATATCATGTCCGATTTTTTTCTTATAGCACCGGATGCATGTCACTATTTGCAGCAGTGTTCAAATTACAGTTATACATATTATTTAGAAAGACCATATCATCATCGTCATCTCATATACGAGTCACATCTCGTCATATGTCTACATTATATCACTAGTTGCATGTCTATCTGCAAAATTGCTTGAAATATTACAGTTATGCATATTAATGAGTTCACACGACCCCCATTTATGAACATTAGATAATTAATATGCATGGGATTTCAACCCTGAAATACTCAGATCTGCAGATCATCCAAAAGCACCTATGTAACAAGTTTCATTTAAATTCAATGAGTTATTCTCATTTATATAACTATAAATTGGCTAATTTATGCAAATTACGTAATTAAGGCCTATGCAATGTCAAAGGGCATCTATGTACCTATTTTTTTATTGAAATCTGTCGAGATGTCATTGGAAAAGCTAGAAATTGGCTAATTATTATGCAAACTGGGTAATTATTATGCCCATATTTCAACCAAAATAAAAAAGGTGCAGATTAGGTTTTTAATATGCACAAATTTAATACGTAATCAAATCGGTGTATTGTATCAGAGCATTGTACCAATATCATTGCAATCCATTGAGTAATTCTTGAACACATACAAACATGCATATTGTATCTCTAACACGGCCGCGGAGGATAGATACATTCAAAGTAAGTCGATTACTATGCACGAATTTGAGAAATGAATCTTATCTTAGATCAGTCCTTTGAACGCCAAGGTCAACTTTTTGTCACCTTTCATGAAATAAACCAGCAGCGGATTTTTGCGGATATTTTCAAAATTTAAACTTAAGAAATGCAGCTGATGGACAAGTATGTCTATTTAGGCCGAAATTAACATTATAGAAAGATAATTCAAAAATGCAAAATATTTGCAAAAACATTTGAAAAAATCACATAATAAACCACAATTGTTCTCAGTTTCAGTATAAATTTAAAAAAAAAATCTGCCAAACTTATTATTCACAAAATTATTCACAGCTTCAAAATATATTCAATATACTAGTAAATCAAGGACATCCTTCTCCAGTGAATTGGATCAAATTTGAATACATCCGCGCATATCACAGTAGCACAATTTCAATAACTACCTCGACCTGCAACCACCGATAGTCGACGTGGTGCCGTTTTGTAATCAACTCTGGTCATCACCAGTATGAATAAAAAGAGTGATATCGTAAGACACATCTATCGCAGAATAATAGCGTTAACAAAAGTGAATAATATCAGCCGTTGAATCAAGATACTTGTCATGATAATGCAACATTCAGAGTACCGTGTGCACAGCACGACGTGATTGAATTTGATAACGCCTTGGGAATAAAACGTTAATCCTGAAAATACTGGCAGAATGCACAGTTCACGGTCGGTGATTATTTGACCACAGAGCTGTGATGAACAAAGCGTTAATTAATAATGTTAGTGTAGGATTATTATTATTTTAGATGTTTATTTTATTTCAAAAATGCTGACACACAATTTATGCATTATATTACCTGAAAATATTATACATGGTCTCAAAAAATAATAGGAACTCGTAGAAATTGGGAAACTGTTATATTTATGACTATTTTAATTATTTAGTACATGAATGTTTAAGTAAAAAAATGTTAGAGTTCACATTTTAGATAGAGGTAATTTTGTTATAAAAAATTATAATAGAGAAATGTCATCATGTCGCACTATTGTGCGCGGTATCCTTAACTAATGTGGATCATTCGTAAAATTAAAATTGAACAGAACGTGTGGTTATCCCCAATGAACAGTGTATTCTCTCATGCCTCGACGCAGGATCATGTTCAATCGTAAACCTCACTTTCAATACATGTTCGCAGCAATCGCCACCACGGAACAACCAAGGCTTCTTTACGACACCTAACTTGAGTTGCTGGTTTGGCAACACGAAACGAGACAATATCAAAAGTATTGAAATACATGTATTACGAACACACTACTGCGCCAGCAAACGGGCCCACAATAGTATCATTAAGAATGCATCGAACCCATGCATTGTACGATGTATCCTGCTTTATGTGCTTTGTGAATTTATACTCCGTGACCGATACAACCCAAGCAGAATAATCGCTGCGCCCACTCTCCTGTATCCACACCTCATATTTAATGCTATCATATGTTAGATATTTTACATTCCATGGTGGTATCCAAGATAAAGCCAAAGCTGGATTATCCCAGATTTCCTCACTGGGTAAATTCGAATAATCTTCCGGCGTCCGTGTTAAGTTGCACGTCACATTTTTTACTTTAGATGGGTAGAGATTTACCGAAGTATTTCCACTTTCTAACGTTCTCTCCGAGAAAGCACTTTTTAAAGTTTCGATAAATTCTCCTATGTCGACGACTGTATCTTGGTAAATACGATATAACCACTGTGGGTCACTGCAGCATTGGTGTACTGGCACATCCTTGCTTTGTGTTATCACTTCCTGTTCGTCATCACTAAGATGTTGTATCCCACCCAGATGAGGAGGATTTTCAGGATGGGTCACGGTGTTTTCAACTTTGGTATTTCGCCATGCTCTGTAAACTAGATTCATCCCGGTAATCGTTGCCATGGTTTTGTAAGGCGTATACTTTTCCGGGTTCACTGCGTACGGAAAGATCTCTATAACAACTGCCGATTCACGAAGAAACATGGAAAGCGACATCAATGATCCATGCACTCCGATAAGAACGGAAGCTTTACTCACAAGTTCTATTTGTTCTCTGATCGCGTGGGTTTCTACACTCAGCGACATCACTTTCAGTCCAAACTGCTGAATCAGAGCGAACATCAACTCACCTTCATTCAACAACAACCTGTTGATCTTTCTGGACAATATTACTATAAATTCTTCAGCTCGGGAGTCGTCTGAAACAATTCCAAGACGTTTTTCGACAAATTTCGTAAACTGCCTTATCTCAGTGGCCGTTGTTTTAACGTTTGCTACCCTCCCCTGTGGTTTCGTGAAACCGTAATCGTACCATACAGTAGATTTAGACAACCCAAGAAACGCATTCCGGAAACAAATTAGATTGTTTCCAGGTGATTCCGTAGATTTCAAATTTGATTTCAAGACCACAGGCACGTCAGAGAAAAGTTGATAAAGATCCTTGTATTCACCGGGTTTCCAACCTTCCATTAAGATTATTCTGGTATCCAAATTAAAAAGATGTTCATCAGAGGATGTGATTTGCGATAGTGTGGTGAACAATGGAAGCAAGTCGTCATGAAGAACATGCATTAAATTGTCTGGATTGAATCTGTTGAATATAACGTTATCCCCGTGATAGAAATCAACGTTGTCAAAATAATCTAGGTGCGCCGCCTCTAGGTCGACATAGGTAAAATACAAGCTATTGTGATCGCGCACAGAGGTCATATCGAGGAGAGCCGGTTCTAAGTTGCCCGGGATCCCGTTGAGCACAGACTGAGGCCCATGGAAAAAGATAAAATCATCCTCACCCGGGGAGTAGCACAGATTTTGAAATTTGCACGTCCTATCGGTGTGGTTGGATCCTTTGCACCACACAGAACTCCCTTCGTCGCGTAAATTGGGATCGGGAAAGTCAGTGGGTGGATTATCGTCTTGACGGCAGGGGGCGTTTTGCTCCCCACGGTCGTCGCCATGGTTACCAACGGACGTCTGGGAATTGTCGGTTTGTGGCAAGATGTAGCGTTGAGTACATACTCCCAATATGATTCCACCCATCAAATATATCAGCGATCTCATCACAGGGAGTTGCCGTTTCAAAAGCGAATTGCGTCTTCTCGGGGGAACTTCAGTCTGTAAACAAAAATATGTAAACAAATAATTAACACTTTTAAAGAGCCCGTCAATCTCGACAACACATACGATACTCAAAAGCTAAGCCCACCGCACCGCAGTGATTGGGCAATTTACCGCCGTTACACAACAATTGTTATAATTTACAGTTTGAAGTTACACTTCAGGGAAGATTACGGGTTTTTTATTGATATGTATCGACTGGTTTCTATGACACATTTTGTCGTACGAATTTTACACGTAATAATTCGGATCGACGCCCCCACTTCTAGGTTAGTATATGCGCGCAAATTCACATAATAATTCAAAAACACAAACAATGTTTCAACTCAGTGATGAAATTCAATGGCAAGTTCATTTTAATTTAAATAAAAACAAGCGTGACATTTATGCAATGGATAACAAAATAATTAATTCATGTAATTGAACAGATGAATTATTTTACGATCTACATTACTACGCATGCCACATCACGCAAAATACAATCAGATATCAATGCGCACGCTTTCCTCCGATTTTCATCTCGGAGAATACACTTCAGCAAAGCCGCTCGTCTCTGCATCGCGTTCCTCGCGCAAGACCTGTCCAGCAAATCGACGGATTCTCCGGACGACTTACCTTAATTGGAAAAATATTGAGAACAACGCATTACAGTAACATTTTATCAAAATGTCAACTGAAGAAAGCCCAGATCCAGTGGAAAAGGAAGAAAATCATCTGCCGGACATGAAGGAGATGCGATCCGTAGTACTGACTGGTTTCGGTGGACTGAATAAGATGCGCGTGATGAAACGGCCCGAACCCACTCCACAAGAAGGCGAAGTAATGATAAGAGTAAAAGCATGGTAAGTGAAAAAGTATAAAATATACGTACTTCTCAAATTTGAACAAATAAGCTTCGTGTCAGACATTGAAGATAAAATCTCGTCGTGTCAACAAGGGTTTTCGCAATTAATTGAAACGTCATATTTTCAATCAGTGACAAACGTCGCCAATGAAAATGACTCAAATTATGTAAAATAATTTTTTCAAGTCAAGGGTAATTGATTTTCACTATATTTATTTGATTATTCACAGAAATAATCACAAAATCAAATGTACTGAAATTTTAAAATCATTATTTTTTTTCTTCATTTTTCAAATATTCATTATTGGCGGTAGAGGCGTTCGCCGCCGGGTAATTACGATAACGGCAATTAACATGTATCTCCCGACATGCAAAGCGCTGCTATCTGGCCATTAAGTTGAGGGTTCTTATTATATTTTACAAAAAAACTAAACACATACATGTACATGGCGCAGGTTTGCAGTAATACAGAAACCTGTCAATGACATTGCTCCCCCTACTTTGAAATGGAATATCCCAGAAGCAAAGACTGAACATAAAGGCCAGAGTTAAAACACCTAAGCTTTTTCTAAGTAACCTCCACACACAAAAGGATTCTCTAATTCATTTCTACTAATAATCAATGGTTATTTCTTTTTTATATATTTTGAAACGCTTGCAAACAAAATGCTATTTTCCCTTCTTTTGTGTTGTGGTGTATTCACTTAGATTCAGCAGAAAAGCTATAAATGAATGAATATTAGAAAAATAAACATTGAATCACAGAGTACT